ACAAAACTGATATACGTACGTACATCCTCAGGCCAGCACTTCCATTCATTCTCATATGCTCTCCTAAAACATTTGCAATTCCACTATGTATCATTTACCTATTTTTTATGACAATCTCCACTGTTTTCAGTATATGTCTGGAAATATTAACACAATCTCCTTGACATCTTCATTTCCGTTTCCTCGTCTTTTATAAATTGTTTCTTTTAACTTATTATTTTTAAATCTCACTCCTGAATTCTCCTTGGTTTCTTCACTCTTACTGTCACCTCTCTTCTTCCCACCCATCTTAGTTTGCATTGATGTACATATATGCAGGAAGTACTAAACCTGAAGAGGTCATACAGAGAATGAGGAATAGGATATAATCAGGTTTGATCAAAGGAAAGGGCAAGTAGCTCCAAATCCTTGAATTAAGAGTCATTCACCAGCATCAAGGCAGTTATTTCTGCAACCTTACCATCACTACCCTTGCCACTGCTACTTTTCTTGTACAATATCACTGGAGTTATCGATGAATTCCAGTAATTTTTCATCATGTTATTATTCTCTGTGCATATAAACAACAAATTACCTAACTAACTCTTTGCCCAATATTTATGAAATTCTGCCTTCAATAATATGTTGACAGCCAGGGACCATCCTAAGAGGTACTATTGTACAGTCATATGAGTGTGAAAAAGAAGCATTTGAAATGTTTTATTCTCTGGCAAGATTTCTGGTCTTTGCTCTCTGTCTCATGAATAAGTAAGATGGCAGGAAAATCTTACAAGTCTGTACACTTTACTGTTTTGTGTTTCTTAACATTCTTACTTCATATTACTATAATGTTTTATTCCTTTGTCCTGAAATCAGGAACTCTTAGAACATTTCTTTCTGTCGTATAATTTTTTCAAGTCAGTAACACCTTTTTTCTCTGGTATCCTGCCCTTGTAGAGTAGTTGATAAAGACACACAAGCAGCAACTGGAAACTTTGTGTCTTGTGTGTCTTAACTGGTATTCCCAGACATTCTACCTTATATAACTTGCCTCTGTACCTGGAATGATCTCATAAAATCTTTCCAAGACATTTCAACAAATCTGAAGTTCCCCCTCTACACCACAATCATTACCATACTCACTAATTCCCCCAACACTACAACACTTACTTTATACACCACAACAACTGCCATACCCACTCATTTCCCCATCAACACCAAAACAATCACCATACTTATTCCTCCCTCAACACCACAACAATCACCACAGTACCATAATTTCTCCACCAACACCACAGCAACTACCATACCCACTTATTTTCCCAGCAACACCATAAGTCACTATATTTATTCCCCCATTCACTCCACATCACCATACCTACTAATTCCCCCATCCACCCCACATCACCATACCCACTCTTTCCCCCATACACATTATCACACCTGCATCTGCACTTTCCCTCATTAATAATAATAATCTTTATTTCTACAAGTATGTGTACAAGGTTTACAGGCCTAGCTGACATCAATGACATACCACTATATAAGAAGCCCCCTTGTTAAGCAGAGCACTGAGGACAAATTAGATCAAATTTGTCCAAGGATGCAACCCACACCAGTCAACTAACACCCAGATATCTATTTTACTAATAGGTGAACATGGACAGCAGTGTCTTAAGCAAACACATCCCAATGTTTTAATCCTAACATTATAAAAATCTTTGAAAGAGTGATGAGACGGTAGATTACAAATTTCACAAGCAGCATAACCTGAACCAGCATGGTTTTAGAGGACAATCATGCCTGTCACAGCTGCTGAACCATTATGACAGAATTACGGAGGCACTGGAAGACGACCAAAGTGCAGATGTGATTTACACAGATTTTGCAGACATTTGACAAATGCGGACATGAAGTGATAGCACACAAAATGAGGGCCATAGGCATTATGGGGAATGTAGGCAGATGGATTTTTGGGGTTCCTAACACACACAACACAAAAAGCAGTAGTGAAGAGAGCAAGATCAAGCATCAGCAGGGTAAAAAGCTCAGTGCCCCAAGGAACTGTCCTGGCACCTCTGCTGTTTCTCATCCTCATAGCAGACATAGATAAAAACACCCATCATACTTTTGTATCAACATTTGCAGATGGCACTAAAATAAGCATGGAAGTCACTATGGTAGAGGACACTGAAAAATTACCGGAAGACATAAGCAGGGTTTTCCAGTGGGCAGTGGAGAACATGACATTCAATGGTGAGTTGTTGCAGTTGCTTAGGTATGGAAAGAATGAAAAACTCAAAACGAACACTATATACAAAACTCAAGAGAGTCACCAAACAGAATGAAAAGAACACATAAAAGACCTGGGAATAATTATGTCAGCTGACTTTCTTTTAAAGACCATAACAAAACAAAGTTCGCAACAGTCAGAAAGATGATAGGGTGGGTATTGAGAACTTTCAGAACAAGGGAAATAATGCCAATGGTGACACTCTTCAAATTGGTAGTGCTCTCTCACTGATAATATTGCTCAGTGCTGACGGCCTCATTCAAAGCAGGAGAAATATCAGAGCTGGAACAAATACAGAGATTGTTTACAGCTCACACTGAGCCAGTAAAGCACCTAAATTACTGGGAATGCCTTCAAGTCTTGAACATGTACTCATTTTAGCGGAGGAGAGAAAGATGCATGATAATATATATGTACCTGGAAAGTACTCGAGGGCCTGGTCCCAAATCTGCACATTGCCATAACAACATACTGGAGTGAGAGATAAGGGAGGAAGTGCAAAATAAACCCAGTGAGAAGCAGAGGTGCAATGGGGACAATAAGGAAACAGTGTATCAACATCCAGGGTCCCAGACTGTTCAACATCTTACTAGAAGATATCAGAAACATAGCTGGAACAAGTGTAGAAGCCTTCAAGAGGAAACTGGACAAGTATCTTCACCAGGTGCCAGATCAACCAGGCTGTGATGGATATGTGGAGAAGCAAGCCTCCAGCAGCAACAGCCTGGTTGACCAGGCAAGCACCAGAGAAGCCTGGCCCATAGCCAGGTTCTGAAAGTAGTGAAACTCTCAAAACTCTTCAAAGATATATCATAGGTACCCATACCAGGGATCAACCCCCGGACCTCAGTGTGTGAGCTGAGTGCGCTAGCGACAGAGCTAAGGGACACCTAAACACATTATATACACTATCCACACCACCACACTTTATATACGTACTTCCATTCCTAAGCACATTACTATTTTATCTTTCACATTTTTATTACTGTAATTACTTAAAATCAGTAAAATTATAAATATCTAACCCAAAAATTACACCTTTAGAATTGCTATTGTAGTACAGTACTACAATACAATCTTACATTTTTTACAATAAAAATTATATGCTCTACTGTACAATATTTGATAAAATATATGCCAAATAATAACTTACTTTGTTAAAAGATTTTCATTTCTTATGTTGTCAGCGAAAACATTTACCGATCTATAAACAGCAAGATCAACTTCATCCTGAAGAAAATAAATATGAATATTAGAAAACAAAAAAATTTCTAATCAATTAGCTAGGGTTTTTAAAAAAATAGAAACTGTTGATAAACACATTGCACTTTTATGGATACACATAAAACCACTATATGTACAGTGGACCCTCAACCAGCGATGGCATCGATTAACGATAAATCTGACTAGCGATTCATTTAAACGCAAAAATTTTGCCTCGACTAGCGCTTAAAAACCCGACCAACGCTTTTCGTTCCGTACCATACGCGTCCACTTTGGCCTGAGCGCGCCTCACTTGTCCCTTTGTGCCAGTGTTTATAAGCCAGCCAGCCACCGCGGTCGCTTCCAAACATACAACTGAAACATTTCATATTATCACAGCCTTTTTAGTGATTGCACCTGCAAAATAAGTCACCATGGGCCCCAAGAAAGCTTCTAGTGCCAACCCTACAGCAAAAAGGTTGAGAATTACTAGGGAAAGATGAAGAAAGAGATCATTGATAAATATAAAAAGTGGAGTGCTGGCAGTTGTTAATAATAAACCCCAATAAAACCATCGTTATTGTGGGCAAGAAAACGGCAATCAAGGAAGCTGTTCTTGCCAAAGGTGCAACTATGTTTTTCGAAACTGAGATCGCAAGTGATAGAAGATGTTGAGAGACTTTTATTGGTGTGGATAAACGAGAAACAGATAGCAGGAGACAGCATCTCTCAAGCGATCATATGTGAAAGGTAGGAAGTTGCATGACGATTTAAATTTAAAAAAACTGCCAGCAACTAGTGATGTGAGTGAATTTAAGGCCAGAAAAGGGTTTGGGGTTTGAGAGCTTTAAGAAGTGTAGTGGCATTCATAGTGTGAAAAGGCATGGTGAGGCTGCCGTTCGGCCCACAAAGCGGCTGAAAAATATGTGCAGGACTTCAAGGAGTACATAGACATGAAGGACTGAAACCTGAACGAGTGTTTTAATTGTGACGAAACAGGCCTGTTTGGAAGAAAATGCCAAGCAGGACGTACATTAACTCAGGAGGAAAAGGCACTTCCAGACATAAGCCTATGAAAGACGGGGCTTACTTTGTTGATGTGTGCCAATGCTAGTGGTGATTGCAAAGTGAAGCCTTTATTGGTGTATCACTCTGAAACCCCCAGGTGTTCAGAAAAAACAATGTCCTAAAGGCTTTTGTGTGTGCTATGGAGGGCAAACAGTAAGGCATGGGTCACTGGGACTTTTTCTATGATGATTACACCATGCATTTGCCCCCAATGTGAAAAATTACCTAATTGAAAAGAAATTAGACTTAAGTGCCTCCTGGTATTAGACAATGCCCTGGTCATCCTACAGATGTGGCAGAGCGACTTTCTAGGGACATGAGCTTCATTAAGGTGAATTTTTTTGCCTCCTAATACCACTCCTCTCCTGCAGCCCATGGCCAGGGTTATTTCCAACTTCAAGAAACTGTACACAAAAGCTATGTATGAAAGGTGCTTTGTAGTGACCTCAGAAACTCTACTGACTCTAAGAGATTTTTTGGAAAGATCATTTTACCATCCTCAATTGTGTAAACATTATAGGTAAGGCTTGGGAGGATGTGACTAAGGGACATTGAACTCTGCTTGGAAAAAACTGGGGCCCAGAATGTGTAGAAAAAAGGGTTTTTGAAGGGTTGAGGCTAACCCTGAGAATCCTATGCCAGTTGAGGAATCCATTGTGGCATTGGGGAAGTCCTTGGGGTTGGAGGTTATGGGGAGGATGTGGAAGAGTTGGTGGTGGAGGACAGTGAAGAACTAACCACTGATGAGCTGCTAGATCATCTTAAACAGCAAGAGGGCAGACCTGGGGGAAAACGGGCTCGGAGGAGGGGAGAGAGAAATTGAAGAAGTTGCCTACTTCTAAGATTAAGGAAATCTGTGCAATGTGGCTTAAAGTGCAAAGCTTTATGGATGATAACACCTGACACAGTTTACTGCAAGCCGTGTTGGCAACCTGTACACTGACAATGTTGTGAACCACTTTAGGAAAGTCATAAAGGACGAGGGGTTTACAGGCCTCTATGGACAGATATGTTGTGCGACAGAAGTCCAGTGACTCTCAAGCTGGTCCTAGTGGCATTAAAAGAACAAGGGAAGTAACCCCAAAAAAAAGATTTGGGCTGCCTCAAGTGCTAATGGAAGGGGATTCCCCTTCTAAACGTAAGAAGATAACATCCCCCCTCCTCCCATCCCATCAATCATCACCAGATCTTCATGTAACTGTGCATGTAATCTTGAGTTTGTGTGTTTTTAAAATTAATATTTCATGTGGTAAAATTTTTTTTTTTTCAATACTTTTGGGTGTCTTGCACGGATTAATTTGATTTCCATTATTTCTTAGGGGGAAAATTAACTTGACTAACGATTATTTTGACTAATGATGAGCTCTCAGGAACGGATTAATATCGCTGGTTGAGGGTCCACTGTATATAAAAAATTACACAAAAATTTAATTTTTTTTTTTTGGGGGGAGGGGGATCAAATGTATTGATATACTGAAACATTTTTTTTTTTTTAACAAGTTGGCCATCCCCCAAATGGGGCAGGGTGACCCAAAAAGAAAAAAATCCCCAAAAAGAAAATACTTTAAATCATCATTAAAACACTTTCACCTCACTCATACATAATCACTGTTTTTGCAGAGGTGCCCAGAACACAACAGCTTAGAAGCATATACATATAAAGATACACAAACACATCCCTCAAACTGTCAATATCCCAAGCCCCTCCTTAAAGTGCAGGCATTGTACTTCCCTTTTCCAGGACTCAAGTCCGGCTACAGAAAAATAACCGGTTTCCCTGAATCCCTTCACTAAATATTACCCTGCTCACACTTCAACAGCTCGTCAGGTCCCAAATACCATTCGTCTCCATTCACTCCTATCTAACACGCTCACGCATGCTTGCTGGAAGCCCAAGTCCCTCGCCCACAAAAACCCCTTTACCCCATCACTCCAACCTTTTCGAGGACGACCCCTATCCTCCCTTTCCCTTTCCCCCTACAGATTTATATGCTCTCCATGTCATTCTACTTTGATCCATTCTCTCTAAATGACCAAACCACCTCAACAACCCCTCTTCAGCCCTCTGACAAATACTTTTTATTAACTCCACACCTTTCTAATTCCCACCCTCCGAATTCCTGCTCACATTGCCCTAACAGGACATCTCCACCGCCTGCAACTGCCTCCTCGCTGCTGGATTTAAAAACCCAAGTTTTCACACCCATATAAGAGTGTTGGTACCACTATACTTTCATACATTCCCTTCTTTGCCCCCAAAGAAAATGTTTTTTGTCTCCACATATACATCAATGCCCCACTCACCTTTTTTCCTTCATCGTTCATACACCCATCCGCTGACATGTCAACTCCCAAATATCTGAAAACATTCACTTCTTCCATACTCCCCCCCCAATTTGATATCCAATTTTCTTTATTAAATCATTTGATATCCTCATCACCTTACTTTTTTCTATGTTCACTTTTCAACTTTTACCTTTACACACTCTCCCAAACTCGTCCACTAACCTTTGCAACTTCTTTAGAATCTCTCATAAAGCACAGTATCATCAGCAAAAAGTAACTGTGTCAAAGCCCATTTTGCATTAGATTCCCCATAATTTTAATCCCACCCCTCTCCCGAGCACCCTAGCATTTACTTCTTCTACAACCCCATCTATAAATACATGTATATTAAACAACCATGGTGACATTACACATCCCTGTCTAAGACCCACCTTTACTGGGAATAGTTTCCCTCTCTTCTACACACCCTAACCTGAGCCTCACTATCCTCATAAAAAATCTTTACAGCATTTAGTAACTTACTTAAACCTATTCCATAACAGTGGACCCCCGCTTAACGATCACTCCCAATGCGACCATTATGTTAAGTTTATTTATGTAAGTGCGTTTGTATGTGTATGTTTGGGGTCTGAAATGGACTAATCTACTTCACAATTACTCCTTATGGGAAAAAAATTCGGTCAGTACTTTGGCACCTGAACATACTTCTGGAATGAAAAAATATCGTTAACCGGGGGGCCACTGTACTTGCAACATCTGCCACATTGCTCCCCTATCCACTCTATCATATGCCTTTCATATGCATGAAAATACTTAAGTTCTCTTTCAAGCTACTTATAGGTAAAAAATAAAAAAAAACTGCACAAAATTCAAATGTGAACAACTGGCCATCATGGCTATGAATCCCACCCACTCAATGAGAAAGTTTTTTTAAATATCTGAATACACCCCTATGCCCTGAAAGTTATTCCTTAGCCAAAGTTTCATATGAGACTTTTAAATAAAATTTATGTGATAATTATTTCACATAATCACTCCACGATCTTTCTCTTTGTTAGATGTTAAGCTCTTATTGCATAATTATATCAATTATTATTTTATACATGTACTGTATTTATAAAAAAAAAACCAAACCCAAATGAGTCATACAGAATAACTCTTATCCCCATTAATAATGCTTTCTAAATGTTGATGAAGATAGGGAAGCTGTGATTTCGTGTATAGGGCAAGGAGGGGAAAAACATCTTGTAGGAGTGAGGAAGAGCCAGTTGTGAGTGTGGGGGAAGTTCGTGAGGCAGTAGGTAAAATGAAAGGGGGTAAGGCAGCCGGGATTGATGGGATAAAGATAGAAATGTTAAAAGCAGGTGGGGATATAGTTTTGGAGTGGTTGGTGGGAATTATTTAATAATGTATGGAAAAGGGTAAGGTACCCAGGGATTGGCAGAGAGCATGCATAGTCCTTTGTATAAAGGCAAAGGGGATAAAAGAGAGTGCAAAATTATAGGGGGGTAAGTCTGTTGAGTGTACCTGGTAAAGTGTATGGTAGAGTTATAATTGAAAGAATTAAGAGTAAGACGGAGAATAGGTAGCAGATGAACAAGGAGGCTTTAGGAAAGGTAGGGGGTGTGGACCAGGTGTTTACAGTGAAACATATAAGTGAACAGTATTTAGAT